ACACATGACGCCTTGCACTTCTTTGTTATACTTTGCACTGACATCTTTTTTCTAAATCTTTCATAGCATGTTAAGTACTAAAAGGAGCTTTATTTGGATGCATATCTAATTGAGATGCTAATATTTAAATAGTTACAGGGTGAATAAACTTGTTTCCTTTAAATGCGTAAGGATTTCGTTCGGAAGTACAATATTCCCCTCAAAGTAAAGTTTGCTCGTGCATTTGTATTTCGGAAATTTCTGATTAAAACCTTTTATATGTTAATGATGTGATTATATAAAAAAGGGACACACATTATCAGAGTTCAAAGTAAAACTTTTTCACTTTTCAGAAAACTCTAAATTCTTAGTGTGGCGTTTACCTCACTTGCTTAATCTCTTATCGCAAACACTCTGCGTGTAATTCTATATACTTTTCATCTCGTATAATAAAGGCAAACCCTTTGAACTACCATATTTTGATGAGTTCACCTGAAAATTTTCGCAACAATCAGTTCGTTCCGTGAGTCCGTATTACATTCGTACCATTAAAATGGCATTTGTCGAAAAATATAAAACATGCACTCCCCCCCCCCCCCCCCCCAAAAAAAAATAATTAAAAAAATAAAATAAACAAAACAAACAAATAAACAAATCTGCAAGTAAACATGTCTGTCGATTTTTAATATGACCGTAATTATATGTCACGGAAACTTACGATTGGTATGCCATAAATTTTAGCACAGTCGGATGCTGAAAGTCCAGATATAATTTTCGAAGATTTCTCTCTACATTGCAGGCACATCTCACATTACACCCCATATTTTTAGTTACAAATGACGGGACGTACAATTTTCGATCTCACAAATCATGAATTTATACATGTACACGTCTGAGATTTTTTAACAGGATTATCCTCAATACAATTCTATGCGGAAGTCTGGGAACACATTGGATTGTAATTCCAGTTCGAAGTTGATTTTTTTTAATCCACCCGCTAAGATATTCCAATACGATAGACCAAGACGTAATTTCAATTCCCGAATAGTTTGAAACTGTTTTGCAATCTGAGTCGTATCTTTGTAAAAAGTAATAAATATCTCACGGCATAATATAGAGTGTACAAAGATACTGAGAGTACATGGAATGAATTTGAACATTTATGATTATATCCACTACATGTATAATATGTGTACGAGAACATGCGTGGATCTACGATTTTTTCCCAAGGGGATGGGGTGTGTGCACACCCACTCAAAAAAGGTCCAACTCAGAATTTTGATAAACAAGATCACATTGGATTGTATTTTAAATCCACCTAAGATATTTTATTACGCACAATAAATCAAGATGTAATTTCAATTCCAGAATAGTTTGAAATTAATGTTCCGCAATCTGAGCTAGATCTTTGTAATGCTATGCAGTGTGTTCTTCCATCTTTTAGAGTAGAGTCTACTCTCTCTCTCTCTCTCTGAGTAACGCATCTAACACCCTATTAGTGCCCCATTTGTGACGTCATGTTCGCAAACGCAATGCATTGTGAATGAGTTTCCACATCGTCGAAAACCCACGGTCCCAACAAGGTTGAGTGAAAGGATTATACTGTTTTGCGTTCTACAGATTCAACTGCATTACTGATACATTTTATCCATGGATTTTATACATGTGCCATGATTGATCACTTAAAGGATAGCATGGTGGAAGCATGTGATCATCTATGCAGCTGTAGCAAGTAAGAATTTTATGATTTGCTAATGAAATTCCAGGTAAAGGGTTTACTAGGATCAAGAAATCGCTTCATTATCTTTGGAACAAATCAGTCTGTTTTAAACACCAATATAGGCATTCATATCTAGTTAACGTAAGTTCAAACCTAGGTACATGTATAGGCTAATCTGAAATATGACGTCATCATGACGATAGGGCTAATGTAAACAAGCATACGAACATCTGATGTCTGTGGACTACAAGTATTTTAATTTAAATAACTAAAATGTTATATTTTCGAGTTAATTAGTGACTTCTTCACATGTTACATTCTATATTTGTTGATATACCTGTTGTGCCTGGCATTGATGACTCGAAGCCCCCAGCAATCCCACAGAAATTTGGCTTGTCCTTCATTAAATCAATTATCTTCTCCTCGGCGGCAGTAGGGGGTTTTGGTGGAGGTCCACCGCCTGTTTTCCTGGCATGTTTACGGGCCTCTGTAAATGTCTTCTTAGCCCCCTGTTGCAGATTCCCCCACTTAAACCTCACTTGTTCTACCGACCTGCGTTGTACCCCAACTGCATTGACCAAATCTGTCACTTCTGCCCATTTGCTGTTCTTTTTAGCGTTTGTTATCAAATTGCTCTGTTTGGCTTTAAGAACTTCTTCGTTCTTTTCGACGAAATCTGTTAAAACAGTTATTTCGGCCAAGGACCAGTTGGTACTTCTCTCTCGCTTTACACTTGCAGCCATTTTTACTTCGCCGTAGCCCGTAGGTACGGGGAACGCGCGCGTGTAGAACGATTTTAACTGAAAGTTAACTATAAGACATCAATTAAATGTGAGTAAGCTAATTTATTTTTAATAGGCTTTCGAACAACAAAATTTTAACTGACAGTTACGTAACTCGTCGTTAAAAATTTAACAGCTAGTTACGGCACTAACTGGGAGTTAATTTAACTAACGTTCGTGCAACCGAATCCAGGTGATAAAATGACCTTAAATTAAGAGCATTCTGGGTTCATTATAACCAGGTGATAAAAATGACCCTGACTTGAGAGCAGTCTGGGTTCATTATAACCAGACATTAACACTACAGCAGTCTGAATTTATTATAACCAGCAGATAACACTGAAATAACACTGACCTTGACTTAAGAGCAGTCTGGGTTCATTATAACCAGAAAATAACACTGAAATAACACTGACCTTGACTTGAGAGCAGTCTGCATTCATAATAACCAGAAAATAACACTGAAATAACACTGACCTTGACTTGAGAGCAGTCTGCATTCATTATAACCAGACGGCCTCCTAGATCATCCATTAATTTCATCACTAGATTGTCTCCCTTGTCCTGGTCTTTCACTACTATGGTTCCTATATAAGTTGCTGTGAAATATAAGAACACTAAGAATCAAACTGATTCCATATACTATTTTTTTTTTTTAATATAAATTTTAATGCTTTGTTCAACATTACTTTTTTTTTTACTTTCAAGATTGTGATAGTTGAAAATAAATTTATTCATAGTGTTGAAACTCACTAACAGCAAAACTGACTGCGTACACCTATACCTTTGACAGCCAAACTGTGTACATCTATACCTTTGACGGCAAAATTGACTTAGTACTGCTATACCTTTGACGGCCAAACTGACTTAGTACTGCTATACCTTTGACAGCCAAACTGACTTTGTACATGTATACCTTTGACATTTTCCTTCAGCTCTGGTTTATCTTCTGGAAACTGTATCGGTGCATTTAATGAGGTCAGATGAAGGTCATAAGGAGGTTCATTAACATCTCCTATAGTAAAGGTCAGGGTGGAAATCACCTGAAATTCAAGATCTTTACCGTCTACAATCCAATAAGCCACATCTAAAAATACAGTTGAACTTTGGAATCTTGAACACTGATATCTCGAATACCATGGATATGTCAAAGTGATTTGGAAGTCCTAAACACTTATTCTTTAAAAAGTATTATACCCTCCATATTTTGAATCCTCGGATATTTCTAACTTTTTTCTTGTCCCATTGAGTTTGAGATGACGAGCTTTTACTGTATTTCCACTTGTTATTACCTTTAAAATTTCAAATACAGTTAAACTTTGGCATCTCGAACACCGTTATTTTACCCTCAATACCTCAAATCCTTAGACCCATTGGGTTGGAGATAACAAGATTTAACTGTACTTGTTCTAAAATAATTCAGGGACCTTAGCAAGTATTTTGTTCTGATTTAAATACTGCATTTACAGTACAGGCCACGAGTTTTCCCCGAAAAACACGGGGCCCCGTGGACCGCTAGTCCACGCTTTTGCGTGGACCTCGATCAATGTCGGCGTCTTTGAAGTTAGCATGTCGGTGCACCGTGTAACACGGTGTGTACGCGCGGTGTGTCACAGTGTCCCATTACGATATCACACAGAACTTAAAAAAAAAAACAAAAAAAACTATGCATTGTCTTTGTTAAATCAATTTCCTTTGAAATAAGTTTTCTTTTTACTTTTTCTTAAATATTAGTTCTTCATTATCGATATACAGGTGTTTTGAACAAATAAGATGCCCTAAAAACTAAGATCCACGTGCATGTGCCCAGCACCGAAAAAAAAGTCTTCAAATGTGTATGCACATCCATGTAAGTCGTGTTTCAAGACCTAGTTATACTAGAGAAAAAATTATGTTCAGTTAACTATTATAATGCTTAGAAGGAATAGTGATTATAACTGTGTTTATTTTAATTACAGCCATTTTCATAATAAGATTTTTTTTTGCCGCACTTATGCATTCATATGTCGTATTTATCAGATGCATGTTATATTTTATAAATCATTTCTACATAAGGAGAATTTAAAAAAAGTATCTCAAATAAAATTTAGAACGTGTCAGATACTCGTACATAATTCATAAATTCTCTGATAATTTAAGGATTATTGCAATCTGTAATCTTATAAATATGGAGGTAAATATATATTACACACACAAAATGTCGAATTTTCGTAACTCAAATCTACTGTTCAAATACTGTACAAATATTACTTTATCCTGAAATTATTTAATGAAAAATGTGTCGAACGGTTTGCGCAAAAAAAAAAAAAAAAAAAAAAATCAATATTAGCGAATGTAGAGCGGGGATGTACATGTATAGAATAAAGCTTACCTAAGTCTTTGTAAAGTTATTATCATGGTTTTAGAGAGAAAAAAAAATAAGTAGTTATTAAAATCCATAGCCTCTTTCAAGCTAATATGTTTTTACCCCCCCCCCCTTTCTAAATTATTCGAGAATCTGTAGATTTTCTTTTATATGTTACGTTATTGTGAAATAAACAACTATAATCTAACACGTTACATGTTTATATGTGTCTGAATAGGAATAATTTACAAAGTAAGTTTGTAATCAAGCCAAAGCACACGTGTGGTGGCGTAATTCGGTAGATGAATTTGGCTGGAAGTCAGTTGAGTGTGTTATACACTTGATGTGGTCAAGGACGAAAGAATTTGAAAGGTGTGATAAACACACAGCACCCCCGGCCCTCCGGCTGTGCCCCAATATATTTTTAAGAAAGGTGTGAACTCGGAACTGCCCATAAGAATGTTTCAAATCACGACTTTCCGCGTAAACAGACTTTCTGGGCCATCTAGCGTCGTGCGATTTTGATTGACAGGTATAGCACGAGGATTTCGTGTGTAACCGAGCATAACATGTTGCAACTGGGTTGACTATGAAACAATGTTACAGAATTTAAATAGTATTACAGAATGGTTAATTGTGACTTTGGTAATGTAAATAAAACGAAGAATTATTATTATTATAGATTTATGTGAAAGGGGCTTAAAAGAATCTCTCTCTCTCTCTCTCTCTCTCTCTCTCTCTGACATTGTTTACACACTTTTCAATAAAAGAAAAACTTATACTTACACTGAAAGGATTTTAAAACCTAAATACTAGTTTATGAAAAGAAAAAAATTCGTCTGTTACGAGAAATACGCTTCGGCATTATCAAACGAGAATTAAAAATTTTTTTTCTTCATATTTATACGAATGGGGGTTAAGAGCATCTCTCTCTCTCTCTCTCTCTCTCTCTCTGACATTGTTTCTTTACATAATTAAGGAAAAACATATTAAATTCTTACACTGAGAGGATTTTTAAAACAGAATTTATACTTATTAGTTTATGTAAAGAATTTATTCTGTTACAAAAAATACGCACATTATTGTACACAGGAATTTTGCTCTCGATTCTCGCTTATAAATTCAGAATAATACAAGATAAATAAAATAAATGTGCTTTACTCTGGAATATAAATGCTTGGTTTGTATCCTAAAACAGATACATGCAGCTCGGATCGTATACCACATGTAACACAGATCACGCCATTTCTTCGTTACGCGATTGCGTGGAATCAAATTCTTCAGAAATTAAAAATTTCAACCCAAGTAATAATTTTAAAAAGTAACTGAACAACTTTATGAAATATGAACTTCTGGGCACACGGTAAATTCAACTCTGTTATTTTTTTTTTTAAATTATTTTTTAATAATTTTTTCTGTTACTGATATTTAATCCTACTACATGTATCATTAGTACGATTCAGAACACGTCAATGTCTTCTAGATTAGAAAACGATAATTACAGTATACATATAAATCAATGTTATAATTGTTTTAAAATCTTAAAATATTTTATCAGAACAAAATGGTTTTTCTCTGTAATGTTATGGAGACGGTGCGGCACGGAGGGAGTTTTCTGGGCACGGTGCGACACGGGGAGCATTAGCTGGGATTTTTCTAGACACGGTGCGTCACGGTGTGCCTACCTGTGTATTTCAAATCCACACACACCGTGCTACACCGTGTACACGGTGTAACACAGAGCATTTCACACAGTGTGTTTTCCACCGTGCGACGGGGAAAACTCGTGGCCTGTACTGTAACTGCAACTTGTACTGAAAATGCAAAGTTGTATTAAAAAAAAAAATTACAGTTGGAAACCTATTTAACATAAAATTCATCCAGTAACTGTAAGCTGATAAAGCACATCAGTTAAATATTGATTAAATTTTCCTACAGTAGACAAAATATTGTAGAGCATGAAAACATATTTTTAATAAATCAATGACAAAAAAAAATTTGAGATATCAATATAGGTTCAGTGATAAATATAAAGTGCTGATCAATTTCCTAGGCTTTCACCTTTTTCTGTGTGTTTCCAGAAATTGACCATATAGTGATGTACACATTATTCCTAAACCAGCAATGTTTATCTTTGACTACAGTAATTAAAGTTTGAAGTTTTGCAGTTGCTAAGACTACTGGCAATTGACAATTTAATTTCCTTAACAGCATATACCTATCATATTAGCTGACTGGATCTCAGAAACAATATTCTATATATCTGTCTCTGATAATTTTGAATCACTGTAGCCCCATCTTAATCACAGGCCTATTTGCACTAAATTGATTAACATAAGGCAGCCTTCATTATGCAGTTTCTGGACCTATGTTTGCACACAAGACCACTCTCTAATTTTACCTTTTATTAATAAAGAAATCGAACCCCTTCTGAAAAATGCAATATCACTAATATCTTGTCCTTTGCTCAAATAATGCTTGTACCAAATTTGATTAAAATGGGATTGTTTTTCTGGAGAAATTTAAACATAGGTAATCAAAGATTACAAAGCTAACCTAGATGAATGTTGTCTACAAGTTAGGCAAATTTCACATTATATTATTTTAAGTTAGTGTGCACCCTAAGATCAATATCCATGCAAGTTTGGGTTCAAGTAGGGCTTATAATTAATTGGAAATGGACCTGCTCCAAAAATTTTACTTGTTGAATAATGAAGAAAATGTAGGTCACTTCCAACATCTGAAGCAAGACTGGAAGTGTCCATCTTTAGAGGTATCATCCATGCAAGTTTAATCATAACAGGCCATATAATTATAGAGCTACTGTGGAAAACATTATCCTGTTTACTCATCTGGAAAATATAGGTCAAATTTAGCATCCAAAGCAAGTCTAGTAATGTCCATCCCAGATACATCACCTATGCTAATTTTGTAAAAGTATGGCTAAATTCACTCATCTGGAAAATATAGGTTATATCCAGCATCCTATGCATGTTTGGTAGTGTTCATCCCTATATGCATCATCCATGCAGTTTGGTGTAGGAAAACTTTAACCTGGTCACTCAACTGGAAAATGTAGGTCAGATCCAACATCCACAGCATTTCTGGTAGTGCCCATCCCTAGATGCATCATCCATGCAACTTTGGTCCAGGTAGGGCTTATGATTACTTGGGAATGTACCTTCACAAAAAACTTTACCCTGGTCACTCATCTGGAAAATGTTGGTCAGATTCAGCATTTGGAGCATGTCTGGTAGTGTCCATCCCTAGATGCATCATCCATGCAAGTTTGGTCCAGGTAAGGCTTATAGTTACTTGGGAATGGACATGCTCCTAAAACTTTAACCAGGACACCATCACCAATGCCGACGCCAGGGGTGTAGCATAAGCTCATCTAAACTTCTTCGAGGTGAGCTAAGAAGTGATACAATGTTATAAAACAGAGAAACTAAATCATCTCTGATCAGAAAACACGGCCCAACTTTCAGCTCCTATAAACTAAAATTGTACAAGTACTTATAAATATAAATTGTGGGCATTAAACAAACAAAAACTTCATCATTAAGACAGTAAATTCACTTGTCTGTTTCTGTCTCTATCATATATTGATTCCCTGGTAAAATTTACACATGTAGTTATAAATCAGAGTCTGGCAACCAAAAATATGAAAGCTTTTATGCACAAGCAGTTCAAAGACAA